TAACGTCGTCTAGACAGTACAAGAAGGCTTCGAGGTAGGTCCTGGGGGGGGGGTAGCATATATATATATATATGTATATATATATATATTTAGATATTTATATATATATATATATATACATAAAAGAAAATAACACATTACGGGCCCCATATTTTCGACACTCCTGATTTATAACAAAACTACACTTAGTTCATAAACATTTGCTGGAAGCAAGTTTCTTGGTGCAGAGCAACAACAACTATGCCTCATAGCTCCTGAGAGATATGATTGTACAGCCAGTTTGCATACCTAGTCTTCGATCTTCTGAAATCCATTTTTGGACAGCGATCCGGCCGGTGACAATAAAGCCAACCTCAACACAGACAAACACGCCACCTCTCGGGGCTGAATGCCGTTTCCTCGGGCCTCCAGAAAAACAAAGCGTCAAAGTGTCAAGTGTCGATAGCTGTCAACGTTAAGCTTGAAGCATTTCACGTGAAAGAACAGCATGTGGCAGAGGCGGCTCCTCTCAGGGAAATTCAATTTCAGAAACCCCCGCTTTACACAGCCGCAGCACATTCCGCAGATGCAGCTGGGTCCCGAGGAGCTTGCCGGAGAGCCTCTTGCCGAGCACCAAGCAGTTCGCTGCAGGGTTCTCGTGTCCAAAACGCTCTACCCTTGCCTTCACAGCATTCTGGACTCCGGACGCCGACAAAACGTCGAGCTGGGCCTCTACCTCACCAGGCGACAGAAACCAAGGGACCTAGTGCACGGCAGAACGCTGGACACCCCGAATGTTGGAGCCTTGCAGCGCAGAGCCTCGAACTGTTCCTGGCAGACTAAGACTCGTCCTGTCTACTGACACTCTTGTCATTATCGCACCTGAAGCTGCCGGCGGTCTGCCGAAACGCTGCCCTCCAGCAACCTTGCCAGGGAGGAGATCTCCTGACAAAGAGAGACACCCGGGGTGAAACCGGAAGTAAAGACGCCCAGAAGACGCCCGACAACCGTTGACCTGCTTGGAGTGTTGGGAAATCTCGTCGAGTCTCCGCGTCATCTTTCCTTCCAATGCCTGCCAGGTGCAGAGACACCTCTATGCAGTCAACAAATGCGGAAGCTCCTCGAGATCAGCGTGCTGCAACCTGCTCTCCACAGATGCAGAGAGGGCTTGGAAGCCTTGTCAATTTTCAGTGTCACGTCGTAGGTGGCAATCAGCTCCCGTACTGAGACGCGGACGCAGTTCAACCTGCGCTTGTTCAGCGGCACGTTTCTGCTCGTGCTGCCACAGCTGCATGCGGCCATCCTGCACATTCAGAGGCCCCCAAAAAAAATCAATTCCTTAGCTGAGAGACGCTGCATAGTAGCACATGATGGGCTAGATGGACTCACTAGAACGTGCGTCGCTTCCTCGTGCACATGTCTGTGGAGGATGACAAACCCTATCGTGCACGCTCGCTTACTATCGTCCTACATGCGCACAAGCTCAAAGCTCGCAAAAGATGGAGGTTTGGGAAACAGAAAGCCTTCATTTTTCACCAGGGTCCTCCGCGTCCAAAGGCAGCGGAGACAGTGGAGACGCCTCAGGTGCGGAATGGAGGTCACACTCAATCTCTTCCAGATCTGGTATCGCACAGTACCTGCAGGCTCGGGGTGCTCATCTCCTCGTCATCACCAGGCTGAGTTTAGACTCTAGACATGAATGCTCCATCGCTGCCTGAAGGTGCTCCAGCCGGGAGTTCAGCCCCAGGCATTGCCTCTTTCCGTTCCGTGCCGTTCCGAAGCTTCACCTTTTGCGCTCTGAAAGGGCGCACTGCTGCAGAGCTTGAACTGCCCCATAGAGCCAGGACCTCAGAAGGGGTCACATGCAGAATCCCCGGCACAGAGCTCCAAGGAGCCGACACCGAAGCCTGTAGACGCTCGGACTGTCAAGGCGGTAGCGTCGGGGAGCATAAACAAAAGGCGCAGCGGGAACACCTCCAGCTGTACGAAGGGAACCCTCACATCCAGCAAAGATGAAAGTGCTGGAATCGCAACCTGGCCAGAAGCTGAATGATCCGACGTGCAAAGACCATTGTGCACCCTAGGCTACGCTGCCTTGCCCACATTAATCTCTTGATTGAACTCCTCTCTGAAGGCACAGTCACCACAAGAACCGTCGGCGTTGCATGGGAACAAGCGCCGAAGCTTCAGTCCTCCGCGCTGGCCATGCGTCACCAGGCTCCACAACTGCCGTGAACGTAGCAACTGTCACCCTGTGAAGATCTTCGTCTTGAGGTCTTCATGAGCGGGGATTAGGGCCATGACCAGGGTCGAGAGCTTCAGACAAGGGCTAAAGCCTAAAGCACAGAGCCGACGTTTCAGACATGCATGATCCCGGCCAGGCCCCACGACAGCTTTGCTTGGCGCTTTTTTGTCACACTCGGTGCAGGCAATGTGGCAGCATCACTTCCTGGCACTTCCGGCCCCCGCCGCCACCTCCACCAGCTGCCACATCCTGGGCACGGTTGTCGGTTGTGCATGCGTCACGACAGCATCAGGCAGACTCGCCGAGAACTGCAGTCAGGCCACTGTGCACACTCCGACTGCTCTCTCCCAACCAGCTGTTCGATCGCATCGAACCGCGCCTTTTCATAGACAGATCGTACACATGTGCATTACATGCGGAAGATTGCGGAAGTAGCCGACAAGTCTGGCCTCCAAGACATCCAGCCGAGCTTCCTCTGATGGCTCTGAGCGAGGACTGCCCACTGCCCAGTTATCCAGCTGTGCTTGCAGCTTCTCCAGTTCAGCCACCAGCTTTCTGAGCGCGGAGACATGCGGAGATGGCTAGGGCTAGGGCCGCTAGGGCTGGGGTTGGGCCCAGCATTCGCAAGGAAACTGCCTTCTCTGCTCTGGGCCGAGCATCTTATGCTGTCCATCTAGCCTTGCGGAGCTGGAGCGCAGCAACCACTTTAGCTCCCGCAGCTCACGCTCCGTCGCCGCCATCCACGAAGCCAGGTGCTCGCTACTCCGCCTCGGGACTCGGCGAATCTCTCGTGAAGACAGCGTCGCTGAACCCCTCTTGCAGACATGCTGCACGTCCGGCACTGCTCGCTTCGGGGGAGCCGCCGTCTTGGGGTCCCTGAACGGCCGTGAGCTGCCCGACTCATTGGCCGTGGCGCTGGGCCCCTGGCAGCAGCAGTTGCGATTAGTCTTCCCAAGCGCGGTGACTCTTTTCTTGTATACTGTGTTCTGGGGATGGGAAACAGGTGTTTTTTGCTTGAGAAACCAAGACTCTTCCTTTGCTGGGCGTCCCAGGGCCCTGGCGGCCCTGGCCCTGGGACTGGCAAGCGCATCCAAAGTGACGGGATGTCCCTTGTACTCCAAGTTTACTCGGCTGAGTTCACAGGCCACCTGCAGAGCAGCTTCCACTTCCTTTGAGAGGAAGCGTGGCAGGGCTGGGTGAAGACTGAGCATTGAAAGCGATGAACCTTCTTCCACTAAAGTAATGACCTCGATGGCACCTGCATCCCCAATTGCATTCCCATCGAGCAGCAAGATCTTGAAGCTTGGCGGTGCCCCGTGCACCTGCATGCCTCGCACCAGATATCTCACGCCGGCATCGGTAACAGCGCTCTCGCCGAGGTCAAGCTCTTGCAGCATGCTGCAGCTTAGCGCTGCCCCCAGTGCGGCTGCTCCATCGTCTCCGACGTGAGTCCGTCGCAGCAGCACCGAACAAAGGCTCGAACTCACCTGCAGAACAGCCGCGATGGTTCTGACACCGCTGCAGCTTATCAGCTCTCCGGTGAGGTCCAGCCGCACAAGCGGCCCGGGCAGCGCCGAGGTTCGTGACATGGCACGCACCACCAGGCAAACACCCACCAAGTCTGCATCACGGACAGGTGGATCTGTTGCGTGGGACTCTCGCGCACCGAGGACCAACACCGGTGGCTGCTGTTTCCCATCCTGGCTGGTCTCGTATTCCCCAAAGCAGCGGAGCAACAGAGGATGGGGAGGCACTCCAACCTGATGACTCTGCCAGCTGTACGCTGCATCCATCTCTTAGCCTGAGCGAGCTCCAAGGGCGCCCGGAGCTCGCAAGGGCCATGAAGCACACTAAGTCACTGAGATCTGTTGACAACAAACTGTCGAAGCTGTCCTCAAGCCTCTACGACGACATGCGAAAGCTGGTCTACGGTACACGGTCTGGCTGAAAGAAGCGGCCGTATGCAGGGCTGCAGTCTTGGCCCGACCACGTCTGAGCCTCGGCGCGACAAGATGGCCCTGGCCTGGCCCTGGCAACCCTTTTTGCTTTCTAGCTGCCATGAGTCACCGTTTGGTGGGATGGCAGAGATGGCAGGCTGGGCGTCTGCTTCATCAGCCGCCGGCAGCCCAGAGACTACAATTGCACGGCTGCGAGTCGCAGCCGGCGGAAAACGGAGAAACCAAGGGCTCCTCCATGGCCGTGTTTCCGGGCGCTAGAAAACATACGAGCTGCACTTTCAAGTCACAAGCACTTTGCACTATGAACAGCAAAGAAACCTCAACTCACAGCATGAAAGGATGCACTGCATCTCGTGCCAGATATCGGGCCTCCGCCGATCCTTCTGACATAACTGCAGCAGAAGCAGGACTTGCGTCGCAAGCACCTTCCTGGCTCGCGATGGCTTCTGCCGCCAGAGACCTCCCTGACTCGTTGTGCGCGCGCAGTACCTCGTGGCACACGATGCGCTCTTCAGCTGGAGCTGGAGACCCTGGGGACACGGGCGGAATCAGGTCCAAGGGCGCTAGTCCCTGTACGTTCTCGCGCATGGACTCAAAGCCATTCTTTGGGCTTCGCTGCCACTGGCCGACTTTGCGCCCGAGCTGATCCGCGGCTTCGCGTGCAACACTGCGAGCAGTTGCTTCAGGCTTGTCACAATCATGGACTGATGGAGCAGATGGTGGGTACACCTCACTGTCATCTCCCTGCTGCCTGCTTGCAGAGGTCACCAGATCTCTTGCCATGGCAGCTGCACTGTAGCCACCCTCAGATGGAGCTGCTCCGGTGACATCTTCAACGCCAGCCGTCTGAGCTGGAGTGCC